GACCAACTGGCCTGTTGGTCCAATGGACCGGTTGGACCAACTGGCCGGTTGGTCCAATGGACTGGTTGGACCAACTGGACCGTTGGTCTATTGGACCGGCTAGACCAACTAGCCCGTTTGGTCCAATTGACCGGTTGGACCAACTGGCCTGTTGCTCCAATTGACAAGTTGGACCAACTGGCCTATTGGTCCAATGCTACAGTTGGACCAACTGGCTTGTTTGGTCGAATGCTCCAGTTGGACCAACTCGCCTGTTTGGTCCAATTGACCGGTTGGACCAACTTGCCTGTTGGTCCAATGGACCAGCTAGACCAACTGGCCTTTTAGTCCAATGCTCCGGTTGGACCAACTGGCTTGTTGGTCCAATGGACCGGTTGGACTAACTGGCCTGTTGGTCCAGTGGACCGGTTGGTACAACTGGCTTGATACTCCAATGGACCGGTTGGACCAATTGGCTTGTTGGTCCAATGGACCGGTTGGACCATCTGGCCTGTTGGTCCATTGGACCGGGTGGACCAACTGGCCTGTTGGTCCAATGGACCGGTTGGACCAACTGGACCGTTGGTCCATTGGACCGGCTAGACCAACTAGCCTGTTTGGTCCAATTGACCAGTTGGACCAACTGGCCTGTTGGTCGAATGGACAGGTTGGACCAACAGGCCTGTTGGTCCAACGCTCCAGTTGGACCAACTGGCCTGTTTGGTCCAATGCTCCAGTTGGACCAACTCGCCTATTTGCTCCAATTAACCGGTTGGACCAACTAGCATGTTGGTCCAATGGACCGGTTGGACCAACTCGCCTGTTGGTCCAATGGACCGGTTGGACCAACTAGCCTGTTTGGTCCAATGCCCCGATTGGACCAACTAGCCTGTTGTTCCAATGGACCGGTTGGACAACCGGCCTGTTTAATCCAATGCTCCAGTTGGACCAACTGGCCTGTTGGTCCAATGGACCGGTTGGACCAACTGGCCTGTTGGGTTAATGGTCCGGTTGGACCAACTGGCCTGTTGATGGACCGGGTAGACCAACTGGCCCGTTTGTCCAATGGACCAGTTGGACCAACTGGCCCTTTGGTCCAATGGACTGGCTAGACCAACTGGCTTGTTTGATCCAATTGACCGGTTGGACAACTGGCCTGTTGGTCCAATGGACCGGTTGGACCATCTGGCCTGTTGGTCCAATGGACTGGTTGGACAAACGTGCCTGTTGGTCCAATGGACCGGTTGGACCAACTGGCCTGTTGGTCCAATGGACCGGGTTGATCAACTGGCCCGTTGGTCCAATGGACCGGTTGGACCAACTGGACCGTTGGTCCATTGGACCGGCTAGACCAACTAGCCTATTTGGTCCAATTGACCGGTTGGACCAACTGGCCTGTTGGTCCAATGGACAGGTTGGACCAACTGGCCTGTTGGTCCAATGCTCTAGTTGGACCAACTGGCCTGTTTGATCTAATGCTCCAGTAAGACCAACTCGCCTGTTTGCTCCAATTGACCGGTTGGACCAACTAGCATGTAGTTGGACCAACTGGCATGTTTGGTCCAAGAGAGGCCATCCACGTGTTGCAGTGTTTTTCCTGGCCTATGCCTGATCTTGAAGTCATACTCCTGCAGCTTCATCGCCCATCTTGCATTCCTGCCCGTTAGTCCCGGGGTTGTCATCAGCAAGGTGAATTCCCTCCCCTGCAGGTACACCCTGAAATGTCCTACTGCCCATACGGCCGCCAACCCTTTCTCCGATGTAGGAGCTGTACTGTGCCTCTGCCGAGTTGCAGCTTCTGCTCGCATATGCCACTACCTTCTCCTCTCCTTCCACCTCCTGGCAGAGAATTCCCCCCATCCCTTGGCTGCTCCCGTCGGTGTAGAGCGTGAACGGCTGATCAGCGGCGGGCAGCTTGAGTACCGTTGCGGTCTTCACTGCAGCCATCAGGTCCTGCAGTGCCCCCTTCTGTGCTTCTCCCCACTCCCACGCCTTGTCCTCCCGCAATAGCCCATTCAACACCGCCGCTCTCTTGCTGAAGTTGGGCACAAACCGCCTGTAGTAGCTCAAGAAGCCCAGCACTGCTCTCAGCCCTGACTTGTCCTTCGGCTCCCTCAGTCTGTCCAGCACTTCCACCTTGGCCTGTTGGATCCCTATCTGTCCCCCTTTCACCTCATACCCCAGGTACTGCACTGTCTGTTCCCCTGCCGCTTCAATCGCCGCCAGGGTCTTCTCCACATCCTGCAGGTGCTGCTGCTCTGTGGTGCTGAAGATTACCACATCATCTATGTAGCAGGCCGCGCACTCCACTCCCCGCAGCACGCTGTCCATGACCCTCTGGAACACTGCTGATGCGTTCCGCAGTCCAAATTGCATGCACAACCACTCGTACAGCCCGTCTGGCCCATGAAAGGCCGTCTTCCTGATGTCCTCCTCTCTGATCTCGATCTGGTTGAACCCCTGCCTCAGGTCCAGCTTGGTGAAGAACACCCCCTCTGCCAGTTTGTCAAAGATCTCCTCCGCCATCGGCATCGGGTACCTGTCTGCTACGGTGATCTTGTTGAGTGCCCTGTAGTCTCCACACATCCTCCTGCTCAGCACCTCCCCTGTCAGGTCTCGCCTGGCTGCCACCATAGTTGGTGTGGCATATTCGGACTCCGACCTCCTAACCAGTCCCGCTTCCAGCAGCTCCTTGATCTTCTCCTTACAGGTCTCCTCATCCCCGGGCGGCATCTTCCTTCTGCGCTGGAACACTGGTTCTGTGCTGCTCAGCTTCAGCTCCATCTCCTTCACCTTGCACCTCCCCAGTTCCTGCATGGTGAAAGCGAAACACTTCCGGTGCCTTGCCAGCAGCCCCTGCATGGCCTCCCTTCCCCCTTTGCTCATCGCTTCCCCCACCACCCAGCTCTCCTCCTCCTTCGCCTGGCAGCTCCACGCTCCTCGTGGCTCCGCCTTCATCCCTCTTTTCCCTTCCTCCTGCCCCCAGCTCACGACCGTCTCCCGCCACATTCTCTGAATCAGCCACCTCATCACGTGGCCATCCATTGCATTCCCCAGAGCCCTCCTCCTGTCCGCTTCACTTGCCCCAGGTGCTGCTGTTGCGTCTTCTCCGTACCCCATAGCCAGCTCCCGCTCTAGTGCCGTAGGCTCCTCCCATCTCCCTCTCTTGTGGTCATACACCATCCCCGGCCCAGGCTTCCCTGCTTCCCACTTGTACCCTGCTGCCCCCACATACGCCACCAGCGTGGGCAAAGCCCGCCTCTCCTGCCCCACTTGGTTGCACTGCTCATGCCTGCTGTAGCTCTTGCGACACACCGGTGCTGGGGTCCGCCCTGGTGCCAGGATGTCCTGCACCTTCCTCTCTGCTGCTCGCCTCACCCCCTCTATCTCTGCTTGCAGCTGCGCGGCCGGGACCACATTCTGCCAGTACATTCTGAGCCTGTGCGCATAAGACCCCATTCTGGCCGCATCACAGCTCACCCCTTCTCCCAGCTGCCCCCTGATTCTGTCCCTCACCAGTCGGATTGGCTCTCTGCAATCTCCCTCCAGGTCCAGGTTTTCCAGCAAGTATGCCACCCTACCCTGCCTCTCCTGCAGCCACTTCATGATTCGGAACAGGTCCTCCAGCAACCCTGTCCTGTGATCTTCTCCTCCCTTGCCCTTGCCTGCCCAAGACACCCCTTGGCATTCCCACCCTGCCACCAGCAGATCCACCTGCCCCCAGCTCACCACCTCCGCCTCACTTATCTCCTTCACATCGTGGATCGTCCCCCCCATCGCCTTGCTGATCACTCCCTCACACAGTAATTCTGGAAATTCCGCTTGCAACTTCCTGGCATGGTGCTCCGCTATCTTCCTCACCCCGGGTTCCTTCTCCACATATGTCCATCTCTTCACTGCTATCCCATTCCTCACCACTGCGGACAGCCCTGCCCCTATCCCCCCAAACAGCTCCACCAGGTGTATGGGCTGCTGCCAATCGCTCTGCTGCTGTGGCTTGTCCATCTCCTTCATTCTGGGCGCTCCTCCCATTCCTGACAGCCCTCCCTGCTCCCCCGGCAGCCGTTCCCCCACGGCCTGATAAGCTCTCTTCGGCTCCACCTTCACAAATCGCACTGGCAGCTCTCCCAGCGGCCCCTCCCTTTTCCAGTATCTAGTCCTAAACTCGACCTTCTCCGTCCATGTGTATATTGTCATCCCTACCGCATACACCAGCTCGGTGCCTACCAGCACGTCAAAGTCCTCCGACTCGGAAATTCCACACTTCATGCGGATGATGGTTTCGTGTTCCCCCACCGGCAGCAGCGTCACCTCTATAGGCGTCCGTATGCATGGCATCCACTTCGGCTCCCCTCCTTCCGCTGTCATCACCAGCATCCCCTTAGCCACGTGCCTCTCCGACACCAGCAATCCCAGCCTCTCAGCCATCCCTTTGCCCAACATCACGCTCTGTGCCCCCGTATCTATGATGGCTGTCTTGACCTTCTCTCCCTCTACTTCCATGGCTCCCTTCTCTAGCAGCAGCACCGAGGTCTGGCACGCCAGCCTCTCTTGGGGATGGCGTGTAGGGGCTGGCTCTGGGGCTGGCTCGGCTGGCTTTTCTCCCTTCACCTGTTCTTTCCTTCCCTGCTCTCGCCTGCCATCCTTGCCTCCGCTCCTCAGCCCCATTTCCTCCCTTCCTCTCCACGCCATGAGAGCACACTGCACATCCTGCTCCACCTCCTCTCCTCCCCCGTCTCATGCGGTAGAGCGTCTCGGCCTCTCCCTCCAGTGTGTTCGGCAAGCTGAAGAAGAAGTCCACTGGGTCCATGTGGTGCCGGTCGCAGCGGTACCGCATATTCCCCACCTGCATGAGATAGTTCTTGAGGGTCGGCCCTGCACGTTGGTCGCCTGAGAATCTGGCGGGCACTTCTACTCGCGGGATGCTGGTGCCACCCCCACGCCCCTCTCCCCATGATTCACTGGCCCCTTCCGGCCGACTCCTCTCCGTTCCCCTCCCCCGCACCCTTTGCATGCCCTCTCTAGCTTCCCGCGCCCGCTCTGCCCCCTGCGCCAGTGTTCCGCCCTCTGTTATGCCCTCCTGGCGACTTCCTCCTGACTCGTACCGCCTCTCCCTCGATCCTCCCCACCCTTCCGCCCGTCCCCACTGTGGCGTCGGCGGCCCGCGCACCTCCCGCTCCTCCCATCTGCTCGTCTCGCGCCGCGGCCGCCCTTCTGGCGACGGCGACCAGGCGTCCTCCCTCCTGCTGCGCTGCTGGCGGCGCTCCGGTGAGAGCCTCCCCCCTCCGCGTTCTCCCTTCCGCGCGTGGCGCCAGTCGGGCGAGCGGGACCCGCTGTTGTCCCGCTTCTCTCTCCGCCTCTGCCGGCCCGGCGAGCGCATTGCGCTGCTGTGCTCCCCCGGCTGCTGGCCGCGCTGCTCCTGTGACCCACGCTCCGCCCTGTGACCCCCTTCCTGGCGCCCCTGGGACCCGGGTGAGCGTGGCTCACCCCTCCGTTCGTCACCGCGCGCCTGGCGACGTTCCGGCGAGCGCATGCCGCCGCAGCCCCAGCCACTCTGGTCCTGCCGCCGGTCATGCGGGCGGAACTCGCCCACGCGCCATTCTCCCTGGCGCTGACCCCTTTCCGGCGTGCGCGACTGCTCCGTCCTTCCCTCACCGTGTGATCTGGACGCCTCTGCATAGCGAGCGCCCTCGTCCAGTGTCCCTTGGTCCTGCCGCCTGGAGCCCTCCGCGCGGTGTCCCTCCCCGCGGCTGCTGTCTTGACCGTGCGGTCCCTGTAGCGTGGTCATGAACTCCCCGTCCACCGCCTGACTCATTCCCGCATTTCCTCCCGCCGGCGTGGGTTCCGCTCCGCCCGTCCCTTCTGACTGCGCTCCATCTGCCTCTTCCACTTCCACCTCCTCGATCGGCAGCCCTTGGTCCCCCTCTGCTTCTGCCGCGTCCCGCTCCTGAGTCGCCTCCGGCGCTACGTCCTCCTGCGCGGCCCCTTCGCGAGCGTCACTGCGGCCGTCTCCTCCCCGTCCCCGGGGCCGTCCCTCAAATCCCCGCCAACGCCCTCGCTCGTCGCGGCGCCGCCCACGATCCTCCGGCGAGCGAAACGCCCCCGCGTCGTGGTGGCTTCCGCCGCCCACGTCAGTCCCACGAGTGCTCTCGCGTAGCCACACGTTTCGATCCGTGCCTACGGTCTGCCCGTCCCTACCCGCTCTCGCGCCTCCTGCTCCTTCCCCTCGACGATCCCTTTCCGTGGGGACCCGATCCGCGCGGAAAGCCGGTCGGCGTGGCGATCGTTCCCAGGATCGCCCTCGTTCCCGCGATGGTTCGCGTCGCGGCCGCTCTTCCTCGCGTCGACTGTACGCCCTACCCCAGCGCAGTTCACATTTGTCCATAATCGCCTATGCTGAGAGGTCTCTTCACGCTTTCTCGTTGTTATGAAAGAGCTACGTCCCTCACCCCGTAGGTTCCCTCTCAGTGGTGTGCTGCAGTGTGCTAGAGCGTGAGACAACAACTTTCACTAGTTCGAGAGAATAACAACGAGAAAGCATCGATGGGTTGGAGGTGAGTGACCTTACCCCACCCCTGGCTGCACATTTCCAAATGTGCGGCTCGGGGTTGGGGTTGATTGGTTTCACATTTCGCCCCTCGGAGTCTTTCCCCCTTTTTATCTCAACCGCTCTTATCCTGTTTCCCCCTTTCTACACCCCCACTCCTAACAGTAACTTCGCTACATGCTACACCTATTACTTATATTCTTATTCCTATCTAGTCTTCCTATGGTCTTAGTATGAAGCCCACACTATACCATCATTCTACTGTTATTGCATATGCATTAAGTGCATATGCGGTGACACCAGTTGGACCAACTGACCTGTTGGTCCAATGGACAGGTTGCACCAACAAGCCTGTTGGTCCAATGCTCCAGTTGGACCAACTGGCCTGTTTGGTCCAATTCTCCAGTTGGACCTACTCGCCTGTTTGCTCCAAATGACCAGTTGGACCAACTAGCATGTTGGTCCAATGGACAGGTTGGACCAACTGGCCTGTTGGTCCACTGGACCGTTTGGACGAACTAGCCTGTTTGGTCCAAGGCCCGGTTGGACCAACTAGCCCGTTGGTCCAATGGACCAGTTGGACAACGGGCCTGTTTAGACCAATGCTCCGGTTGGATCAACTAGCCTGTTGGTCCAATGGACCGGTAGGACCAACTGTCCTGTTGGTCCAATCGACTAGTTGGACAAACTGGCTTGTTGGTCCAATGGATCGGTTGGACCAACTGGCCTGTTGGGTTAATCGACCGGTTGGACCAACTGGCCTGCTGGTCCGATCGATCGGTTGGACCAACTGGCCTTTTGGTCCAATGGACCGGTGGCATGCTGTTCCAATGGACCGGTTGGACCAACTGGCTGTTGATGGACCGGGTGGACCAACTGGCCCGTTTGTCCAATGGACCGGTTGGACCAACTGGACCGTTGGTCCAAAGGACCAGCTAGACCAACTGGCCTTTTGGTCCAATGCATCGGTTGGACCAACTGGCTTGTTGGTCCAATGGACCGGTTGGACCAACTGGCCTGTTGGTCCAATGGACTGGTTGGACCAACGGGCCTGTTGATCCAATGGACCGGTTGGACCAACTGGCCAGTTGGTCCAATGGACCGGGTGGACCAACTGGCCTGTTGGTCCAATGGACCGGTTGGACCAACTGCACCGTTGGTCCATTGGACCGACTAGACCAACTAGCCTGTTTGGTCCAATTGACCGGTTGGACCAACTGGCCTGTTGGTCGAATGGACAGGTTGGACCAACAGGCCTGTTGGTCCAACGCTCTAGTTGGACCAACTGGCCTGTTTGGTCCAATGCTCCAGTTGGACCAACTCGCCTGTTTGCTCCAATTGACCGGTTGGACCAACTAGCATGTTGGTCCAATGAACCGGTTGGACCAACTGGCCTGTTGGTCCAATGGACCAGTTGGACCAACTAGCCTGTTTGGTCCAATGCCCCGGTTGGACCAACTAGCCTGTTGGTCCAATGGACCGGTTGGACAACCAGCCTGTTTGAACCAATGCTCCGGTTGGACCAACTGGCCTGTTGGTCCAATGGACCGGTTGGACTAACTGGCTTGTTGGTCCAATGGACCGGTTGGACCAAATGGCCTGTTGGGTTAATGGACCAGTTGGAACAACTGGCCTGTTGATGGACCAGGTAGACCAACTGGCCTGTTTGTCCAATGGACCAGTTGGACCAACTGGCCCTTTGGTCCAATGGACCGGCTAGACCAACTGGCTTGTTTGATCCAATTGACCGGTTGGACTAACTGGCCTGTTGGTCCAATGGACCGGTTGGACCATCTGGCCTGTTGGTCCAATGGATTGGTTGGACCAACGGGCCTGTTGGTCCAATGGACCGGTTGGACCAACTGGCCTGTTGGTCCAATGGACCGGGTTGATCAACTGGCCCGTTGGTCCAATGGACCGGTTGGACCAACTGGACCGTTGGTCCATTGGACCGTCTAGACAAACTAGCCTGCTTGGTCCAATTGACCGGTAGGACCAACTAGCATGTTGGTCCTTTGCTCCAGTTGGACCAACTGGCCTGTTTGGTCCAATGCTCCAGCTGGACCAACTCGCCTGTTTGCTCCAATTGACCGGTTGGACCAACTAGCATGTTGGTCCAATGGACTGGTTGGACCAACTGGCCTGTTGGTCCGATGGACCGGTTGGACCAACTGGCCTGTTTGGTCCAATGCCCCGGTTGGACCAACTGTCCTGTTGGTCCAATGGACAGGTTGGACCAACTGGCCTGTTGGTCGAATGCTCCGGTTGGACCAACTGGCATGTTTGGTCCAATTGACCAGTTGGACCAACTGGCCTGTTGGTCCAATTGACCGGTTGGACCAACTGGCCTGTTGGTCCAATGGACCGGTTGGACAAACTGCCCTGTTGGCCCAATGGACCGTTTGGACCAACAGGCCTGTCGGTTTAATGGACCGGTTGGACCAACAGGCCTGTTGGGTTAATGGACCGGTTGGACCAACTGGCCTGTTGGTCCAATGGACCGGTTGGACCAACTAACCCGTTTGTCCAATTGACTGGTTGGACCAACTAGTCTGTTGGTCTAATGGACATGTTGGACCAACAGGCCAGCTGGCTCAATGCTCCGGTTGGACCAACTGGCCTGTTGGTCCAATGGACCGGTTGGACCAACTGGCCCGTTGGTCCAATGGACCGGTTGGACCAACTGGACCGTTGGTCCAATGGACCGGATAGACCAACTAGCCTGTTTGGTCCAACTAACGTGTTGGTCCAATGGACATGTTGCACCAACTGGCCTGTTGGTCCAATGCTCCAGTTGAACCAACTGGCCTGTTTGGTCCAATTCTCCAGTTGGACCAACTCGCCTGTTTGCTCCAATTGACCGGTTGGACCAACTGGCCTGTTGGTCCAATGGACCGTTTGGACCACCTAGCCTGTTTGGTCCAAGGCCTGGTTGGACCAACTAGCCTGTTGGTCCAATGGACCGGTTGGACAACGGGCCTGTTTAGACCAATGCTTCGGTTGGACCAACTAGCCTGTTGGTCCAATGGACCGGTAGGACCAACTGTCCTGTTGGTCCAATCGACTAGTTGGACTAGCTGGCTTGTTGGTCCAATGGATCGGTTGGACCAACTGGCCTGTTGGGTTTATCGACCGGTTGGACCAACTGGCCTGTTGGTCCAATGGACCGGTGGCATGCTGTTCCAATGGACCGGTTGGACCAACTGGCCTGTTGATGGACCGGGTGGACCAACTGGCCCGTTTGTCGAATGGATCGGTTGGACCATCTGGACCGTTGGTCCAATGGACCGGCTAGACCAACTAGCCTGTTTGGTCCAACTGACCGGTTGGACCTGCGGAGATAACTACTACAACGGGAGCTAGACTACGGGCTAGGCACGGGTGCTCGTGTGATCTCTGTGTTCGTTGGTCCTTAGTCGTTTTCCTAGTGCTCACACTGCTTGCTAGTTCACGGGGTAATTAGGCAAGAGTTTCACTAGAGAAAGTTGACAACAATGATACAAAGAAGTTGGCATGGCAAGACCACATCAGAGCTAGCATTCAGGTCGGTCGACTGCCAGCGCAGCATGGTCGACCGCATTCCAGCACGACTTGGTCGACCGCGCTCCAGCAGTGCAAAGTCGACAGCGTGCCAACGCAGCAGGTCGACGGCGTGCCAGCGTTGCTCCCGCTGTACAGCATCGCACCAGCTTCGCAGGTGCTCGCAGATGCGCTGATGACTGCATCTGATCAGCCACGTCGACCTCGGGATACCACTACCGAGGTCGGACTCGCCAACTTCGTCTGGGCGACCGTCGCACTCCTCCGCAGAACCTCGTCACCCGGGCAACCTGGTCGACCGGGCAACCACGTCGACCAGCTGCTCCTGTATGTGCCCGTCGACCTCCCAAGGCAACGACCACCCCAAGTCGACCTCACCAGGTCGACCACACCCCTGGTCGACCAGCTCCAGGTCGACGTCACTCCTGGTCGACCAGCTCCACGTCGACCAGCACAGCTGTGAGCCAACCACCCAGGTCGGCTACCCGAAGTCGGCGTCACCAAGTTGACGCCCTGCTACTCGACGCCCAGGTGCTCGGCGTCCTGAGTCGTGGTCGACGTCGGCCCCTCCTCCGTCGACCACCAGTTCAGGTCGACCACCAGGTCGACATCACGCCTGGTCGACCAACCACCAAGGCGACCAGCAGTCCTCTCAGCCGACCACCCAAGTCGGCTGCCCCAAGTTGGCGTCACCAAGTCGA